ACCATCCAAAAGACAAACAACAACAAATGTTGGCGAGGTTGTGGAGAAAGGGGAACCCTCCTACACTGCTGGTGGGAATGTAAATTAGTTCAACCATTGTGGAAAGCAGTATGGAGGTTCCTCAAAATGCTCAAAATAGAAATACCATTTGACCCAGGAATTCCACTTCTAGGAATTTACCCCAAGAATGCAGCACTCCAGTTTGAAAAAGACAGATGCACCCCTATGTTTATCGCAGCACTATTTACAACAGCCAATAAATGGAAACAACCTAAGTGTCCATCAGTAGATGAATGGATAAAGAAGATGTGGTACATATACACAATGGAATATTATTCAGCCATAAGAAGAAATCCTACTATTTGCAACAACATGGATGGAGCTAGAGGGTATTATGCTCATTGAAATAAGCCAAGCAGAGAAAGACAAATACCAAATGATTTCACTCATCTGTGGAGTATAAGAACAAAAGAAAAACTGAAGGAACAAAACAGCAGCAGAATCACAGAACGCAAGAATGGACTAACAGTTACCAAAGGAAAAGAGACTGGGGAGAATGGGAGGGTAGGGAGGGATAAGAGCGGGGAAGAAGAAAGGGGATATTATGATTAGCATGTATAATGTGGGGCGTGGGGGATAGGGGAGGGTTTTGCAACACAGAGAAGACAAGTAGTGATTCTACAACATCTTACTATGCTGGTGGACAGTGACTGTAATGAGGTTTGTTGGGGGGACTTGGGGTAGGGGAGAGCCTAGTAAACATAATGTTCTTCATGTAATTATAGATTAATGATAACAAAAAAAATATTTTTTAAACTCAATTTCTTAATCTTTCTTGTTGTCCTCTTAGGGGTTGGGCTCTGATTTTTAGTAATTCTGATAAAATTTCATTGGCTTTTTGTTTGACCAAATTTGACATAAATGAACAACTAAGTGCTAACAAAAAAACGTTTGACCAAAGTAACCTGTTATCTCTTCACAGTTAGCTTCATTTTTAACTGCAGCAGTAGTATTGTCCTAGAGAGTGTGCACTTGACCTTCACTTCAATTTTCGATATGGCAACTGTCACGGTCACCTTGATTCGTGATTCCAAGTGGTTGGTTTTAGAAGTCTGTAGAGAATTCCTGAGAGGAACCTGCCCTCGAGCTGATGAGGACTGCAAGTTTGCCCATCCGCCAAGAGTCTGCCAGGTGGAAAATGGTTGCGTGGTGTCCTGTTTTGATTCTTTAAAAGTGAGTCTCCTCTACTGCTCATAATATTTAACTCAAATCTGTTTGTTGGTTTCTATGGTTTTTAAAATATAATGTGCTTTGAAATTAGTAAAGTTAATTATACCATGAAAGTAGTTAGGTTCTTTTAAATAGTATGTAGACTTTGTGTCTGTAGAACTAAGCCAGACTAAAGCTCACTCGATCAAAGCCCATGAGTCAAAATAGACTTAGAGAAAAAAAATTCAAGAATTTTTGTAGGAATGAGAAATTGCTGCCTTGCCATACCTTCCTTCTTTGTGTATGATTTAGATTTTGAATACAGTGATCATAATCCTCATGAAGCCTAGAGAAGCTCTTTACTGAATTATACTTTATTATCTATGTTATCAAAATACATGTGGCAGGGACAGGTCAGCTTTTGAAGAATATGTAATGTCAGGCTGAAAGAGTATAAGGAGAAAATCTCACCATCTAGGAGAAAAATTATGGCATTCTGAAATTTCTCAGTCAAAGAATATTTGAGCCTTTAACTTTAACATATTGCTACAAAAGTAGGCTCACTTAATTTTCTTCCTAAACTGCTGATGGACCAGTTTCACATTTGTGAGTGCATTTCATTTCATGAAGGAAGTCCTATTGCCAGGGTCATCAAACCTGTGTATTATATACCACAATATGAACAAAATGTGAAGGCAGGTGAGATTATGTAGAATAGAACATATATGATGTAAAACAAGAAAATGCACTGATTTTCATGTTTTATTCATGGTTATCCTTAAATTAAGGATAAAGGTGCACAGATTAAAGCACAGAAGTAAAAAAAAATGGTAGCAAATTCCTGATTTATTTAATAAATTTAGCTATGAGTCATGCAATATTTTTTTTCAAAATATGTTACAATGAATTAAGCTTATTAAGAAACTTTTCAGTGTCTTGATATTGTTTTATTCTCATCATGACCAATTTTACATCATTAACATTTTTATTTATGGCTGCATTGGCTAATAGAAATGTATTCTCTCAGGTGATCATTTCATCAGAAAACATTTTATCAGGTGATATCTTCCTTCAGCAGTTAGTTTTACTTAAGTTGTGGTGACTAACTTGTTGCAGACCATTCCAGTTCAAGAATGGAAACTTGGTTTCGTAAAGATAATGGTAATTCCTACCATTGCAAATGTCTGAATTGCTCTCATTTGCAGCAGGTATTATGATGAAAGGGCTTATTCTGTTTTCTTTGCGTCAGCATCATTCAAGTTTTATCTATATTTGTTTTGTGTATTATTGCAATCTACTGCTACAGGCCTGGGTAATGCCTTGAAGTGGAAAAGAGCACTGGGCTAGCTGGGAAAAACAGGAGGTATCTTTCATCCAGTGGATTTGGAAGGTCAGGCACTGTAGGCACTTTCCATCTGTTGTTTCAGGAGCTCTGGGGTACAGTTCCAGTCCCACTACTGGACCTGACCTCAGCTACAAAGCCTGACAAAACTTGAGTTACTTCATCTCTAACAGATGGGTAGTTCTTCTCTACCTAACTTCCACGATTATTAAGAGAACTCCATTGAGATAATTTCAATGAAAAACCGTGTCTCACTCTAAAAGTGAATTAAATGAAAGATTATTTTCTTACTATTAAGTAAGATGTTTGTTTTAGTTGTGTTTGTTTAGTTTTATTTATTTTGGGTTCCTCAAAACGGTTCTATTTAGTTAGGATTTATTATTTAAAAGTATCAACTTATGTTCCCAGTGGACATGCTCAAATCCAGTTGACCTGAGTATGATACTATTTCTTCAAGCTAAGTATCACTGTTTTTATGGTTTACTCTTTGATATAGAGTTCCTGGCAGGATTTGTAAATTCTATCTTTCCAGGCTTCTAGTGGAAGATGTGCGATCTTCCTGATTATTGATACACCTTAGGTCATTTATCCCACTTAAAGGCAAAAGAGTGTCATAAAGAAAGCATTTTGAAGAAAAGCAATATGGAAAGCAATTGCTAACAAAATGCATATTACACTTCCACTTTAAAGCTTGGAAAATGTCTAATTCAGAGACTACATGGATATGGCCAGTGAATATTAATAACTACTTAAATACACTGTCTTCTTACTGCGTCCAGTGTTTTTAAAATAATTTTTGCATTATGCTAGTATCTTGATCACCAGTCACACAGGAAAAAGACGATTTACATAATCCTTACATTCTCAGATTTTAATGGGAACCTTAATATTTCAAATATACAAAGCCTTCCAAACAATTAATTTGGCATTTAGATGGCACATTCATCACAGTTCCATGTCTGCACAAAAGCTTTGTAGTTCTCTTATACTATGCCCTATCCACAGTATGCATGAAGGTGTACTAAGCTGGGGGTAATAATTGACTTATGTGGATTGTGCGACCCATCGTATCTCTAATGCATGAATAACATGCCTCAATGGTCATTCCAGCATTTGCTACCCCTTTTGAGTTTGTACAATTGAAATACCTTTGAAAAGCATCTGCATACTATTTCTTCTTCCACGAGTGGTTACATAACTGAAGCAATCGTTTGACAAGTTTTGAACTGCTGCTTTTGTTTTCTCTTTTTTTGTTGTTTTTGTAAGGATTCCACTAGCACTAGACACTCTGCTAGATGATGATGATGGTTCTTGGCCTTCATAATAGGCACAGTAGACACAATGTTCTATCCTCACCTCGTAATGAGGGAATGTTATGAAAGTAAGGAGAGCAAGCTGGATGGCTAATTAACTGTGCATTGTGCTGAAGTGCCGTGCCCATCACTCCATGAATGCCGAGTGTTCAGTGACAAAGGCTACACCATCTTCAGATAGAGATCTAGAAGTATAGCCCATAGACTAATTTCCAGCTACATAAAAGTCTCATGTCATGTTGATTTGCAGCTATTTTTTTTGACTCAGTTGCCTAGTCTGCTTACTGTAATTTCTTTGAAAATCTCTTCCAAAGTATTGCTTAATATCAACTTCTTGATATTACAGTTTGCTATTGACTTAGGTTGGTATTTGTAGTGAATGTCCGTTAGATTTAACAAAAGATCATCATTGAAAATATCAGCCTAGAATCTTTGTGATTGTTTCCTTCATGTTATTCTGTTTCACCAATGCAGCGCTGTCTTGAACCTTCCCCTCCATACTCAGAGCAGTGTGATATCAGCCACCTGATATATGAGGAGAGATATAAATGCTGTCACTATTTCACTGTGATGAACACATCAACACCCATCACATCTGCCACCCCACTCACCACTGGGTAGCTCTGTAACCAAAATTTCCTGACAAAGGTCTTAGCAGCAGACATAGTCAGAGGACAGTCATGTGAATTCATATACATTTCTAAAAGGTGGGAACTGGTTGAGGAGCACACATAAAAACAGCCCCACTCTATGTCTTCCAACACCACATGTGATCACAAACGAGATAGTATTTTGACAGGTGAAATCTGTTGTATAGGCATATGGATGTGAACCTTGTAAGTCAAATTGTCCTGAGTTACCAATGTATTCTGTACTAGTATTACTTAGTCATAGAAGTTTTCACTAGTTTAAAATTTCATTATTTTTGACTGAATATTTACCTCATTCCTATTTGCTAAGGGAAAACTTCCCAGGAGCCTAAGACTCCTAGCAACACAATCCCAAGGGTCGGTGGATTATGCAAGATTTAGAAGCATTTATGAGCTCAGTTAGAGAGGTCTGCCTGCACTATAAAGGTATGTAGACAGCACCTATCTTCCTGAAACTTAAGGAAAATAACATTTTACTTTAGGATCTCTATCTTCTATGATACTGATCTTAAAAAGAAAGTATCTTTGATGGATAAAAGTCAATGCTATTTTGGACATTTCAAAACTTTTGAAAGAAAAATGGAATTACAATTAGTACCCAAACAAATACATGTTGATAGCTCAACCTCACTTTTTAAACTTTTTATTTTGAAATAATTTTAGGTCTATAGGAAAGTTGCAGAAATAGAACAAGGAGTGCCCGTGTGCCCTTCACCCAGCTTCCTGTAATGTCAATAACTTACATACCATACATAGCATGGTTATCAAAACCAGGAAATCAACTCTAGTATAAGAATTTAACTAAAACAAAGAACTTATTTGAATTTTACCAAATTTCCCCCTAGTGTCCCTTTTCTGTACCTAGATCCAATCCAGAATCCCACCTTGCATTTACATGTCTTGTCTCCTTAGTCTCCAATCTGTGACAGTTCCTCAGGTTTTCTTTATCTTTCATGACCCTGACACTTGGCATGAGTGCTGGCCAGTTGTTTTGTAGCATGCCTCTCGATTTGACTTTCTCCTAATTTGATTGAGGTCATGAATTTTTAGCAAGAAAACCACAGGAATGATGATGGGAGGGTACGTATTGTTGATGTACCTTGTCATTCATTATGTTAATCTTAATCACTTGATTAAGGTGGTGTCTGCTGGCTTTCTCCACTGTGAAATGATCATTTTCCTTCTGTGAAAATTGATGAGTATCTTCTTCCTTGCTCTTCATTGCTTCATTTCTTCAAATATGCGATTGATTGTATGGGGTATCCCAATACCATACTGTTAAAAAGTGAACAAGTGTCCATGGGTAATGCACTTCTATCATTGTGGCTAATCATGAAGAGGGAGGGGGAAGTAGACCAAGAAAGTAGGGGCAACAGGCCATCAGAATGACAGAACACTGGAGAATGAAAAGCCCAAGGAGATCTGTGATGTGGGTTTCCCTGTCACGTGCTCCTGTCGGGTGGCCCATGCACTGGAGTTAGTGCCCCTGGCTACCTCTAACTTACGACTGGGAAAGAGATGTTCTGCCTCTGTTTCCATGATAAATAACATTTCTCCTGATTCTAAAGTTATGCATCCTTATGAGGGGAAAGGAACATATGAAAGATTTTTTAAAAATCATACACAAGAAGATAATAATAAAAATAAAAGAAGGTAAAAATAAAAATAAAACGTCATCCCCAATATCTAGGGCCACTGTTAACATTTTGATATATTTCC